ACTGTGCGCAGAGGAGTGGCTCAGGTGGTGGTCCGCGCCAGCAGTAGCGGAGTGGTGTGACCCTGTCCCCTCAGCAGCTTCGTGAGTGGTACACTGCGCGCCAGCGCGGTGGGGGCTTTGGTCCCTGCACTTACGTCCTCCGTACCGGTGACCGAGCTGGTGAGCAGTGCAGGGGCCCGCACTCCACCCAGCGCTGCTTAGGTCGCCTGACGGACGCGTGGCGTCGCCAGTTCCCTGAGGCGTCAGAAATCCCTCGCTGGGGAGATCTGTCTAGGGCGGGGGTTGCCGTCTTTGATCTTGAGTATGATGCTATCCTTGCTGCCATGTATTCTGTGACTACTAGTGTTGAGGGTGACTTTTACCTGTGTGTACCGCCTGACCCGGGAATTAAGGCTACTGCTCTAGGTACTGGTGAGGCTGCTGCTCTAGGTGCTAGTGTGTCTGCTGCCCCAGGTGCCAATACGTCTGCTGCCCCAGGTGCCAGTGCGTTTGCTGCCCCAGGTGCTGGTGAGTCTGCTCTCTCAGGTACTACGTCCGCTCAGGCCTTCCACACCTTCACCCTTGACTCGGGTGCGTCCCGCTCCTTCTTTCGAGACCGCACCACTCTTACGCCGCTCAGTCGGCCGGTTGCAGTCTCCCTGGCAGACCCCTCTGGGGGTCCTGTCCTTGCTAGCTTCTCCACTGTCTTATCGTGCCCGGCAGCCCCCTCTGGCACCCTGTCAGGTCTCTACCTCCCCTCGTTCTCTACGAACTTGGTGAGTGGAGCGGACCTATAGGATAGGGGGGTTGACCAGTTCACTCCTGCGAGTCAGCGGGTGACCCACTGCACGTGTGCTCGGACAGGCCGACGCTTGGCCCCGTTCACTCGTCAGCCAGGGTCGAGCCTGTTCACCCTTACTACTGAGTCTCCTCCGACTGCTGAGTCTGGCCAGGTAGCTGCGTCGAGTCAGGTGTTTGCTGCAGCATCCACGTCTGGTCCGGAGTCTGCTCCCTGCTCGTGTCGTCTCCTGTCCCACCAGACTCTCCTCTGGCACCACCGCCTTGGTCACCCCTCCCTGCCTCGTCTCCGAGGCATGGCCTCCCGTGTCCTTGTCTCTGGTCTCCCTCAGTCTCTCCCTCCCCTACCTCCGGGGCCTGGCCCTCCATGCGTCCCCTGCGTCGAGGGGCGACAGCGCGCCGCCCCTCACTCCTCCGAGTTTCCTCCGACAGAGGCTCCGCTACAGACCCTCCACATGAACGTGAGGGGCCCCGCCCGCGTCCGTGGACAGGGGCACGAGCGTTAAGTCCTGTTGGTGGTTGACGACTACTCGCATTACACCACAGTCTTCCCCTTGCGCAGCAAGGGTGACGTCACTAAGGTGTTGATCGACTGGATCCGCGCAGCTCGTCTCCAGCTCAGAGAGAGTTTCGGCTCGGACTTTCCTATTCTGCGTCTGCACTCGGACAGAGGCGGGGAGTTTTCCTCTGCCCGTCTGGGAGCCTTCTGTCGTGCACAGGGCATCCGCCAGACCTTCACGCTTCCGGCCTCTCCACAGCAAAATGGGATTGCTGAGCGCCGCATTGGCATGGTCATGGACGTCGCTCGTACGTCCATGATGCATGCGGCTGCCCCCCATTTTCTGTGGCCGTTTGCGGTTCAGTACGCCGTGCATCAGCTCAACCTTCAGCCCCGGGTCTCCTTGCCAGAGACCTCCCCCACCTTGCATTGGACCGGGAAGGTTGGCGATGCGTCTGCGTTTCGGGTCTGGGGATCTCGGGCGTTTGTCCGCAACTTGTCTGCGGACAAGCTGTCCCCCCGTGCTGTTCCCTACCTCTTCCTTGGCTTCCCCCCTGACGCGCCTGGGTGGCAGTTTTACCACCCCACCTCGCGCCGTGTTCTGTCCTCCCAGGACGTCACCTTTGACGAGTCGGTGCCTTACTACCGTCTCTTCCCCTACCGCACTGCGCCCCTCCCTCTGCCGCCGCTCTTCCTTGCACCAGGTCCTCCCCCGGTAGACCCCCTTCCCCCTCAGGGTCCTGCCCCGTTTGCTGTGTCCCAGGTAGACGCAATCGAGCCTGTCGAGGTAGCTGTTGACAACTTTCAGACCTTCTCTCCCACCCTGAAGATGACCACTCTTCAGGTGCTGCTGCACATACCTGCTCAGCACGACTACGAGCTTCACTCTCTTGACTTCAGCACAACTTTCCTGCAGGGCAGCCTGCACAAGGAGACCTGGCTGCGCCGCCCACCTGGCTTCACTGGGTCGTTTCCTCTTGGTACCCAGTGGAGCCTCCGGCGGCCAGTCTACGGTCTCCGCCAAGCACCCCGTGAGTGGCACGACACACTGAGGAGTACACTTGCGGCTCTTGGGTTTGCTCCTTCTACAGCCGACCCGTCGCTGTTTCTGCGCACCGACACCTCTTTGCCGCCGTTCTACATCCTCGTGTACGTCGACGACTTGGTCTTTGCCACTGCTGACACTGCTGGACTCGCCCACGTGAAGTCCGAGCTGCAGAAGAGACACACGTGCACAGACCTGGGTGAAATGCGCAGCTACCTTGGCTTGTAGATCACCCGGGACAGAGCACAGCGCACCATTACCCTGACTCAGTCGCACATGGTGCAGCAGGTCCTTCAGCGCTTCGGCTTCACGTACTCCTCGCCTCAGGCCACTCCTCTGTCTACTCACCACTCGCTCTCAGCTCTGCCTTCGGATGAGTCCGTAGAGCCGAGTGGCCCGTACCCAGAGCTTGTTGGCTGCCTCATGTACCTGATGACCTGCACACGACCTCACCTTGCATACCCTCTTAGCATCTTGGCACGCTATGTTGCTCCTGGGAGACACCGACCAGAGCACATGGGTGCAGCGAAGAGGGTGTTGCGCTACGTGTGCAGTACGTCGGGCATGGGGCTAGTGCTTGGAGGGCGACGTCGAGTGGTCCTCACAGGTCACGCTGACGCTTCCTGGGCTAACGACCAGGCTCTGCAGCGGTCGTCACAGGGTTACACCTTCAGCCTTGGCTCCGGCTCTGTTTCGTGGCGGTCTACCCGCTCGTCCTCTGTTCTCAGCTCCAGCTGTGAGGCTGAGATCTACGCAGGGGCCATGGCTGCACAGGAGCTACCCTGGCTCACCTACCTGGTGACTGGCCTAGGAGAGCCGCCTCGTTCTCCTCCAGTTCTGTACGTAGACAACAAGGCCATGCTGGCCTTGTGTCGGGAGCACAGACTAGAGCACAGAACGAAGCACATTGCTCTCCGCTACTTCCTGGCTCGGAGTTGCAGCAGCGTGGTCAGCTCCGCCTCACCTACATGGCCTCTGAGGCCAACACCTCGCTTGGGCGGAGCCGACTTCGTGGTCGGGTGTGAGGGGAGCAACCGACCTACAGCAATGGGCGAGCTGGTTGACGAGGTCAACTTGCACGGGGCCCGCTGCACTAGCCCCGACTTCAGGGAGGTCGACCTGGGAAGTCGACCTCCGGAGGGCGTCGACTTGGTGACGCCAACTTGGGGCAGCGGACTTGGGTGGTCGGCTGACAGGAGTGCTGGTCGACCTGGTGGTTGGTCGACCAGGCGTGATGTTGACCTGGTGGTCGACCTGACCTGGTGGTCGACGGAGGAGGGGGCGGCGTCGTCCTCGATTCAGGACGCCGAGCAGCTGGGCGTCGAGTAGCAGGGTATCAACTTGGTAACGCCGACTACGGGTAGCCGACTTGGGTGGTCGGCTGACAACTGCCCTGGTCGACGTGGAGCTGGTCGACTAGGAGTGACGTCGACCTGGAGCTGGTCGACCAGGGGTGCGGTCGACCTGGTGAGGTCGACTAGAGATGGTCGTCGACTTGGGAGGTCGACGGGCACATGTAGGAACAGCTGGTCGACGTGGTTGCCCGGTCGACCAAGTTACCTAGGTGACGAGGTTCTGTGGAGGAGTGCGACGGTCGCACAGACGAAGTTGGCGAGTCCGACCTCAGTGGTGGTATCCCGAGGTCGACGTGGCTGATCAGAGGCAGTCGTCAGCGCCAGGTTGAATTGGTGTGTGCGTTGTGCAGGTGACAAGGCTCAGCGCGCCAATCATCTGCGAGCACCTGCGAAGTTGGTGCGATGCTGTACTGCGGGAGCAACGCTGGCACATCGTTGACTTTGCACTGTTGGAGCGCGGTCGATTAAGTTGTGCTGGAATGCGGTCGACCATGCTGCGCTGGCAGTCGACTGACCTGAATGCTAGCTCTGATGTAGGCTCACCATGCTAACTTCTTTGTACCATTGTTGTCAACCTTCTCTAGTGAAACTCTTGCCAATTTGCCCCGTGAACTAGTAATCAGTGTGTTCACTAGGAAAACGACAAAGGACCAACGGACGCACAGATCACACGAGCACCCGTGCCTAGCCCATAGTCTAGCTCCCGTTGTAGTAGTTATCTCCGCAAACAAGAGAAAGGCGTAGAACAATGTGTGAGAGAGAGATAGCGCAAACCAGGGTGTAAGTGAGCAAATGTAAGCAACCCAAGCAAAGAGGGAAAGCAAAGAAGGTAGGAGAAAGAAGAATAATCGATAGAAAGATAGAGGAACCTACATAGAAGGAAGGGATAGACGACTTTAAGAAATGACAAAGCACAAGAGAAAACCAAAAGCAAGGAAGGAAATCAAACAACAGAAGCTGATCACAGAGGCAAAACAACTGTTGAGATAGAGGCGAGGAATGAGTGCACTATGAAATGAAACAAGTACAAGTACCAACCCTAATTGGGTTGTACCCCCTATGGGCTACCCCACTACAGCCTAAATATATGCATCAGTAATATAATCATTTGACACACCCCCATAGGCAAAGTGGGGGAGAGCAAGGGGTCACAAGACCAGTCAAGCAAAGCAAAGCAAGCTCAGGGTGGATCTCAAGGATACCACACAAATTCCGAGCACAAGGTCAAGGCCACAAGGCCAGTTCACATGCAGCAGAGCATATATATATAACAGTGCTAAACAAGCAAGAGCAAGGATATATATATGCAGCAGTACAAGCAAGGTCAAGAGGTAAGCAAGTGAGGCCCAGTGGGCACAAGGCCTAGCAGAGTGCAAAAGCGCTGATGGTCACGAGGCGGAAGTGCCTTGGTGAACACATCAGCAGTGTTGGCCTCAGTGGCCACGAAACGCAGGCGAAGCTGACCACGCTGCTGCAGCTCTCGAGCAAGGAAGTAGCGCAGAGCAATGTGCTTCGTCCTGTGCTCCAGTCTGTGCTCCTCACACAAGGCAATGGTTGCCTTGTTGTCGACGTACAGCACTGGAGGAGAACGAGGCCGCTCTCCAAGGTCAGTCAGCAGGTAGGTGAGCCAGCGAAGCTCCTGGGCAGCCATGGCCGTGGCGTAGATCTCAGCCTCACAGCTGGAGCTGAGAACCGAAGAAGAGCGAATAGAGCGCCAAGAGACAGAGCCAGAGCCAAGACTGAAGGTGTAACCCTGAGACGACCTCTGAGTAGCCTGGTCGTCAGCCCAAGAAGCGTCTGAGTGCCCAGTGAGCACAGGCCGCTCACGCCCTCCAAGCACTAGCCCCATGCCCGACGTACTGCACAAGTAGCGCAACACCCTCTTAGCTGCATCCATGTGCTCCTTCCGGTGACGGCCGGGAGCAACATAGCGTGCTAAGATGCTGAGAGGGTAGGCGAGGTCAGGTTGAGTGCAAGTCATCAGGTACATGAGGCAGCCCACAAGCTCTGGATACGGACCACTCGACTCTACGGACTCATCCGAAGGCAGAGCTGAGAGCGAGTGTCCCGTAGGCAGAGGAGTGGACTGAGGCGAGGAGTACGTGAAGCCGAAGCGCTGAAGGACCTGCTGCACCATGTGTGACTGAGTCAGGGTAATGGTGCGGCGTGCTCTGTCCCGGGTGATCCGCAAGCCAAGATAGCTTGTCAGTTCACCCAGGTCTGTGCACGTGTGTCTCTTCTGCAGCTCGGACTTCACGTGGGCGAGTGCGGCAGTGTCCGCAGTGGCAAAGACCAAGTCGTCGACGTACACGAGGATGTAGAACGGCGGCAGCGAGGTGTCGGTGCGCAGAAATAGCGACGGGTCAGCAGTAGAAGGAGCAAACCCAAGAGCCGCAAGTGTAGTCCTCAGTGTGTCGTGCCACTCACGCGGCGCCTGGCGGAGACCGTAGACTGGCTGCCAGAGGCTCCACTAGGTACCAGGAGGGAACGACCCAGTGAAGCCAGGAGGGCGGCGCAGCCAGATCTCCTCGTGCAGGCGGCCCTGCAGGAAAGCAGTGCTGAAGTCAAGAGAGTGTAGCTCGTAGTCACGCTGAGTAGCGACGTGCAGTAGAACCCGAAGGGTGGTCATCTTCGGGGTCGGGGAGAAGGTCTGAAAGAAGTGAACTCCCTGTCGCTGACTGAAGCCACGAGCCACGTAGCGTGCCTTGAAGACAGGCGGAGAACCCGGCGGCCGCTTCACCCTGAAGATCCACATGCCACTGACAATGTTCGCCCCAGGAGGGGGAATAGCGTCAATGTAGGTGCCTGTGGACTTCCAGGAAGCCATCTCTGCGTCCATGGCTGACTGCCACTGAGAGGAGTAGGGACCGGCCATCGCCTCTGCGTAAGAGCGTGGGGTCGGGATGTCTAGAGCATCCGGGTCTCCCTCAGGGGCAACAAGCATGGACACGAGATGGGGCAAAGCGGCGGCAAAGCACTGGAACTCCTCCTGCCTGTCCTCAAGGACGTCCGTGCCAAGAGCACAGTCACCCCCGACGGACGGAGAACAGGCAGACGCAGACGCAGTAGACGCAGACTCAGCAGACCCAGCAGACTCAGCAACATGACTGGCAGCGTAGTCCAGACGACACGCAGCAGCAAAGTCGACCAGCTGAGCAACTAGGGCAAACGCAGCAGCGGACTCAAAGGAAGGGTCAGTGACAAGAGTGGCAAGAAGACGCGTGACAGTAGGACTGGCAGCACGGTGAGAGTCCAACTCCGGGTCGGCAAGAGTAGGAAGAGAAGACTGAGGAGGAGAAGGCAAAGGGGCACGCAGAGGAGCAGTGGACGGACGCAGAGACATCTGGTGCGTGCCAGGGACAGGAGGAGGACGCTGACGCGAAGCGCGACCACTAGTGCGAGCAGCTCGGACTGGCGACACAGGGCGGGACGCAGGCTCACGACGCTCAGCAAGACCTCCAGTAGGACCAGCGTAGGGAGAAGGAGAAGGCAGAGGAGAGGCGGGCTATAACTGTGACCGTGACGGGACAGGCTGCGGACACTCTACGGGAGGAGAAGGACCAGTGGAAGGCGGGAGACCAAGAACCTGCTGAAGGAGCGGAACGAAGTACGGCCGAGGCCGCGCAGCACCGCCAGAGACAGCAGGGACAGCACCAACACCTCCAGAGGCAGCACCAGCACCAGTAGCAGCTCCAACTCCAGCACCACCAGCAGCTGCAGAAGTACCCGCAGTAGGACCGACAGTCGTAGCCTCAGCGCCAGCACCCGTAGCAGCTCCAGCTCCAGAGGCACCCCCGAGCCCGGCAGCTCCAGTACCCTCAGTACGAGCACCTCCGGGACCCGTGGTACCAGCTCCCTCGGCAGCGACGGAACCTCCAGCACCCGCAGTACCCCCGGCTCCAGCAGCTCGCCTCCAGCGCCGGGCAAACCACTCACGCAGCTTCAGAGGAGAGAGCGGCTCGCGGCGCGAAGAACGGTCTGGAGAACCACCAGGAACAGAAGCAGTAGGCGCAGAACCCCCAGGCTCAGCACCCCCAGGCACAGTACCCCCAGGCTCAGCACCCCCAGGCTCAGCACCCCCAGTCACAGCACCCCCAGGCTCAGTACCCCCAGGCTCAGCACCCCCAGTCTCAGCACCCCCAGTCTCAGCACCCCCAGGCTCAGCACCCCCAGTCTTCGCACCCCCAGTCTCAGCACCCCGAGGCTCAGCACCCGCAGCAGCACCAGAGTCACCAGTGACCTCGACAGGCTCGACCGCGTCTACCTGAGACACACCTGAAGGGGCAGGACCCTGAGGGGGGAGGGGGTCTACCGGGGGGGGACCTGGGACCAGGAAGAGGGGCGGGGGGGGGGAGGGACGGAGTGCAGTAGGGGAAGAGCCGGTAGAAGGGAACCGACTCGTCGAATGTGACGTCCTGGGAGGACAGAACACGACGAGAGGTGGGGTGGTAAAACTGCCACCCAGGTGCGTCAGGGGGGAAACCCAGGAAGACGCAAGGAGCAGCACGAGGGGACAGCTTGTCCGCAGACAAGTCGCGGACAAAAGCCCGAGATCCCCAGACACGGAACGCCGACGCATCGCCAACCTTCCCCGTCCACAGCAAGGCTGGGGAGGTCACCGGTCTGGAGACCCTGGGCTGAAGGTTGATCTGATGCGCGGCGTACCGAACCGCAAACGGCCACAGAAAATGGGGGGCAGCCGCATGCACCATGGACGTACGGGCGACGTCCATGACAATGCCGATGCGGCGCTCAGCAATCCCATTCTGCTGTGGAGAGTCCGGAAGCGGGAAGGTCTGGCGGATGCCTCCTGCCTGACAGTAGGCTCGCAGAAGGCCGGAGGAGAACTCTCCGCCTCTGTCCGAGTGCAGACGCTGAACAGGAAAGTCCGAGCCGAAGCTCTGCCTGAGCTGGAGACGAGCTGCGCGGATCCAGTCGATCAACACCTCAGTGACCTCACCCTTGCTGCGCAAGGGGAAGACTGTGGTGTAACGCGAGTAGTCATCAACCACCAGCAGGAAGTAGCGCTCGTGACACTGTCCACGGACACGGGCTGGGCCCCACACGTCCATGTGAAGCGTCTGCATCAGGGCCTCCGTCGGAGGAAACGGGGAGGAGTGAGGGGTAGCCCGCAGTCGGCCCTCGACACAGGGGACACAGGGAGGGCCAGGCCCCGGAGGAAGGGGAGGGAGGGACCGGGGAAGGCCAGAGACAAGAAGGCGAGAGGCCATGCCCCGGAGACGAGGCAGGGAGGGGTGACCCATCCTGTGGTGCCACAGGAGGGTCTCGTGGGACAGGAGGCGACACGAGCAGGGGGCAGACTCAGGACCAGACCTGGACGCTGCAGCAAACACCTGACCCGACGCAGCTACCTGACCAGACGCAGGAGGAGGAGACGGAACAGTGAGTGTGTACAGGCTCGACCCCGGCCCACGTGTGAACGTGGTCAAGTGTCGACCCGTGTCCGCGTCCGTGCATTGGGTGTCCCGTCGGCGTGCACGGGTGAACTGGTCGACCCCTGCATCCTGTAGGTCAGCACCCGCCACCAAGTTCGTAGAGAACGAGGGGAGGTAGAGACCGGACAGGGCGCCAGACGGGACCGCAGGGCACGGCAGGACAGTGGAGTAGCGAGCCAGAACAGGACCCCCAGAGGGGTCCGCCAGGGAGACCGCCACTGGCCGACTAAGCGGCGTGAGTGTGGTGCGGTCTCGAAAGAAGGAGCGAGACGCCCCTGAGTCAAGAGTGAAGGTGAGAGAGGGCGGAGCCGACACAGTACCTGAGAGAGCAGACTCACCAGCTCCTGAGGACACAGACTCACTGGCACCTAGAGCGACAGCCTCACCAGCACCTGGAGCAGCAGCCTCAACAGCACCTAGAGCCGCAGTACCAATGCCCGGGTCGGGCGGGAAACACTGGTAACAGTCACTCTCCTCACTAATAGTCATAGCATACATGGCAGCAAGAATAGCATCAAAGTCAAGATCAAAGATAGCTACTCCCGCCCTAGACAGCTGGTCCCAGCGAGGGATCTCAGAGGCATCAGGAAACTGGCGGCGCCAAGCGTCAGTCAGGCGGCCGAAGCAGCGCTGGGCGGGGTGTGGATCACCACACGGCTCACCCGCACGGTCGCCCGTGCGCAAGACGTAGGTGCACGGACCAGTACCCCCACCCCTCTGACGTGCAGCATGCCACTCACGGAGCTGCTGCGGGGAGAGGGTCTCCTGACCACGCTGCTGCCGCTGCTGTTGGCGCTGACCGCCACCGGAGCCACTCCTCTGCGACGAGCCACGACCTCCTCCGCCGCCTCCTCCGCCGCCGCCGCCACCACCTCCGCTGCCACCGCCACTCCCACCGTCGCTGCCGCCACCGCCGCCTCCGCCTCCACTCCCACCACCACCACCGCTGCCACCCCCGCCTCCACTGCCGCCGCCGACACCTCCACTCCCGACACCACTCCCGCTACCACCCCCACCTCCTCCGCTGCCTCCACCGCCGCCCCCACCGCCCCCGCCGCCTCCACCACCGCCCCTGCCCCCTTTGCCCTTGCTAGAGCGACGTCTCCCACTAGGGGCAGACGCCGCACCGACCGACTCAAAACCAACTAGGTCGGCCGTAGCAGCAGAGGCGACAGAGGGCAGGAGGGGGGAGGGGGAACACCCCTCAAAGATGGGGGTGCGCGGGTCACCACGAGAGGCCCCTACAGCGAGAATGCTCTTCTCGGCTGCTAGGAGGGACTTCTCGAGGAGGTTAACACTGAGAGTGGTGGGGCAGACTGAGAGTAAGTCGTCCCTGACTCCGCGGAGGGAGTCAGGGAGGCGGGTGACAATGTAGTAGAGAGTGAAGTACTGGGGGGGGGGGGGTTCTTGGCGCAGAACTCAGCAGGAAGCGCAGCGCGGAAGCGAGCGTCACTAGTGCGCAGGTGGGTAATGAGGTCGGCGACTGTGGCAAAAGAAGCAAGGTCGGGAAAGAGGTACGGTAGCATGAGGCGGCTCACTGCAGCAGTGGCAGGGGTGGAGTAGCGTGCAATAACGGCGTCGTACAAGGTCTGAGCACTCTTGTACGACCCAAAGTGTGCACGCTCAGAGGGAGGGAGGTGGCGACGCACAGCAAGACGTGCAGCAGCATCGCGTGTGGCCCACTGTGAGCGAACAGTGGCATCCTCAGTAGCAGCACGGGCGGGAGAGGCACCAGAAGTGAGGTCAAAGAGAGAGAGGCCGTGAGCTCTGTCGCACTGTAGGAAAAGCAGCAGGTCGTCTACCCACACGTCAAAGTCGATGGCTCTGCCCTCAGCGTCGAAGGTGAGGACACTGGGGGTAGCCATGACAGCAGTGGGGTAAGGGCAGTGCGCAGAGTAAAGCTCAGTGCTCACCAGACAGGGCAGTGCAGGCGGCTCGGGCGGCTCGGGCGGCTCGGGCGGCTCAGCGGGTCGGCTGCTGGGCGGCTCGGGCGGCTCGGCGGCTCGGGCGGCTCGGGCGGCTCAGCTGCTGGGGCGGCTCGGCTGCTGGGGCGGCTCAGCTGCTGGGGCGGCTCGGTTGCTGGGGCGGCTCGGCTGCTGGGGCGGCTCGGCTGCTGGGGCGGCACAGTTGCTGGGGCGGCGGGGCCGGGAGATGCAGCTGCGGGGCCGTTAGGGGTAGTGGCGGGGCCGGTAGGTGAAGCGGCGGGGCCGTGAGGTAAAGCAGCGGGGCCGGCAGGTGAGACGGCGGGGCCTGCAGATGCAGCAGCGGGGCCGGCAGGGGTAGCGGCGGGGCCGGTAGGTGCAGTGGCGGGGCCGTCAGAGGGGACGGCGGGTCCGTTAGGTGCAGCGGCGGGGCCGTCAGAGGGGACGGCGGGGCCGTCAGGTGTAGCGGCGGGGCCGTCTGAAGCAGCGGCGGGGCCGGCAGAGGGGACAGCGGGGCCGTCGGGTGCAGCGGCGGGGCCGGCAGAGGGGACGGCGGGGCCGTCAAGCGCAGCGGCGGGGCCGGCAGAGGGGACGGCGGGGCCGTCAAGCGCAGCGGAGGGGCCGGTAGAGGGGACGGCGGGGCCGTCGCAGGCGATCGCGGGGCCGTCAGAGACGGCGCCGGCGTCGCGAGGGTAAGAGGGGGGCGGCGCGCGACTGGAGGGCGGCACGCGCGACGCGGCGCGGCCGTCTAGGGGCGGCGCGACGAGGCCGCGTAGGTGGCGCGTCAAAAATTTGCGGGCGGCTCGACACGATCGGGCCGCCAAAGGAAAAAAAAAGGCCCAGCGCGACTCGGGCTAGGGCAGAGCGCGCTCCGGGCAGGACGGAATAGTAGGTGGGCCCTAGGAACAGTTCCCACTAGGGAACCTGCTCGATACCATGTTGAGATAGAGGCGAGGAATGAGTGC